AAGAAAATGATTTGTGTACGATTGTAATATTTTAAGGAACAATTTTCATCATGCCTTGAGGAGGACTCGAGCCTCTACAGTCTAGATTTTGAATCTCGCTTGTCTATCATTCAAAGCTAATTCTTGTTGTTTCTTCACAATAACTATGATGATAATTATGATAGAATTCAATTTGAAATTCAAAATTCCATTGTTTTCAAACTAGGGGTGAAAAAAAATCGGTTTGGTTTGGTTTATGGTCTTTTATTATTTATGTATTTATTATTATTATTTTTTAATGGCCAACGTCTCTTTCTATTCCATGTTGATTTGAGGAAAAAAAACAAAAAAACTTGCAAAATTATGTACCTCAAACTTGTTTGCAAACCTAATATAATATATACTTTTGCAACAACGTTAATAGGATTGCATAGTATCTACTTTTGCAAAATTTTAACACAAATTTTACAATCGAAAGTCTTTTAATWCAAATTTGTAATTATATTTCAAGAAATTTAGTGAATGAATTGCCACATTTTTTCTTTTTTAATAAAACAAGTGAAGTGATGCCAAAATTATTTATAAAGAATTTAGATGAAAATAATCAAAATGAATGGACAAAATTAAAAGTAAAGATAAAAAATGACTTTTAAAGCACCTGAATTTTTTAGAATTGGGAGTCCGAACTTTATTGTCCTATACCTCAAACTGTCAGGGCACCTRTATCCGCTTCAAGAGTTTTTGGTATTAAGATTATCAGAAGATTTAAACTTTTAAGATATAATGAGCATGGTTCGATGATTAAAGTATCTCTACATCATAGATTTGAATTCGGACGCAACAACCAGTACAACAAAGATAAGGTAAAAATATTTCTTTCAAAACAAATGCCCCTCACTGTCTTCAATAAAATGAAAATGGTACAAAATTTCATATCAACGAGTCAAGCAAACACATCCTCTGTAATGACAGATTGTTCATCGTTATTACAACCCTCTGCTGGAAACTGAAGTTGCTCATAGTTTAGCTGTCTCGAAGCTTCATATACAGCAATACCAACACTTACTGAGAGATTGAGACATCTAACATAAGTTTCAACCATTGGAATTCTCAAGGTCCCTCCCCCAAATGGCTGGTTTTTGCAGTCCTCAAGAGCTTCAGCTGGTAAGCCACTGGTTTCCGACCCGAACAACAAGTAATCACCCCGCCTGTATGAAAACTCCTGCAAAAACGACACAGATAAAACAATCCGACATTCCTTGTTACTGAGCGATCGATGTTTTGGGAAGAAACAACAAAGAAATGGGCACTTGCCGAGTGAATTGCAGTTCCTCTCTTTGTGAACGCGAGCAGCCGCTTTTCTCCTTCCTGTATATATATATATATCAATCGAATTGGAAGATACGACTCAACAGTACAGATCAATGCAATTTGGAACGAGTTCGAGGTGCAAGATTACCTGTTTTTTGAAGTAGTCTTGGAAATCCGCCCACGTGCTATGAATTTTAATGACGACGTATCTAAAATATAATGTCAATACTTGAAAACATTGGACCATATATGTATAAAGTGAGAGATTGATTTAACTATTTGCCTACTTCAACTAAAAATGGAAAACAACATTTAGGGAGGCAAGCACAGGCAGAGGCATGATTTCCTAACATTCAAATACTCTAAATAATAGCAATAGAGCGACTTAAAATGGATCTCAGGATACGGCCAGTAATCCAAACCAGCGCGCTTCAATTTCGTGTCGTCCACCTTAAATCCCAATGGCTGAAAGAGAAGAAAAGATAGAGACGATACGAGCGTTATTAGAGTCAGCAGCAGCTCCACACATGATTTTTCAATGTCTTAAGCTAACGTTTGGAGGGCAAATCAGAACCACTCAAAGTAGCGATGTTTCGGTACTCACCCCAACTAGATGTAGTCCAACAGCCGATGCAGCACATGTTCTGGCTATGGAACCAGTGTTCCCAGGAATCTGTCAAGGACAATAGAAATCTCAGAGCCAGCCTYGAGGAATTGAGGTTGTCTGCAACCCAAAAAGGAAAAATGGAGAAATTATGTTTCGGAGTTCATCGAGTTCTACACAACCAACTGCATATAACTCGAGCCACAATGTAAAAGCATTTGATGTTTTCGACCAATCTATCGCTCTTTCTATAAGCCATTGTTTCCAGGACTTGAAGAAAATTTCCAACTTTCCAAGCATCTAATAAGACCATCTAAGATCTCTAGTTTATCATCAAGCTTCTGCACACCACAGAGATTTATGCAAATGGCTAAAGGCTTCCTATTGATTTGCTTTCAAATAAAATACCAAATAGGATGCTGCAAACGTCCCTATGCTAAAGGAATCCCCTGGATTTCTCAAGTTAAAGTGAAAAATGGAGAAGAGTGATTGAAATAACATGCAGAATCTAGGCGAAGACATCTTACTCATAGGACATGCAGCCCCATTGACAGGCCTCTGTGATATCATCTGCCACGAAGTCTTATATTTGAACCTTCGAATGAACTCATTCAAAAAAAATCTTTGAGACAACCCTTGACGTGGGAACTCCCTCTTGGGATCTTTAGTTTCTCTCATTTAGGACTTGCTTGGCCCTAATTCCTGGGGGCAAAGTGGGCGAATAATCATATGCTGGGCATATCCGGGCCTTGGAGCGGGAGCAGATGCTCCTGGTTATAGGGGTAAAAACTAAAGAGCTACCAATTTCGGGTCCTAAAAAAAAGTTCAAGCTAAACAATGAGCTAAGAACAGTTATCCCTCTCCCCCATGAAAACAGAAACATTAATCGAAAGCACGAGGCAGAAAAGAAGAGCAAGAAGAAGAATCAGCATATCATTTGAAGTAAGTACCAGGGGAGAAACCAACACAACTTGAAGAAGCTTTGGGTGAGAAACCCCATTAATGGACTCACCAACGCCGCGCGGCAGGGAAGCGTAACCCTCCCCTCTTTCAGCTGCACCATTAGCGAACCAAAACCACACCCCAAAATGAAATTACAGAATCAAATCCAGAGGACCGATGCGAACAGTTGACAAAAAAAAAAAAAAACTTACAGGAGTAGCAAAAGGGGAGGAGCCGAATCCGATGGTTTTGTTGTGTGTGGTTGAATTGGGAGAATTGAGGGCGAAGATTAAGAAAATTATGAGGGCCGAATGAGCGCAGTCGAAAGGGGGAAAATGGGTTTAAGTTTCTGAGAGTGGATGTTGTTGTGTCCATTAATGGCATGGTTTCGTAGCAATCTTCTTGCTCTTGCTGCCGCTCTTCTTCTGCACTATTGGGAAAATGGGTATAGTTTTATGTTACAGATAAAATTATCGGACACTTTGAAATTTTGGTAGACGCAGAATTTAAACTTTGAAACTTTACAGACTYGTTGGACATATTATTAAAATTGTCAAATTAGTCTTTTGTGTATTGAAATTTTTAATTATATATTTTTATTAGTAGATGTTACATAGATAATAATTTAATATTATTTTGTTAAAGCGAGCATAGCTTAGYGATAATTGACATATACCTCAAACTATGAAGTTATAAGTTCGAATCCCCTCCTCCTTCCACTCTCTATCCTTTCTCCTCTCTGGTTTCTCTTATTCTCTAGCAAGTTGGGCCGCACCTTTGACAAATTTGAACATTGGATGACACCACAACAACACAAAAATAGGATTGCGTAAGACAAATTTGAACTTCTTTTTTTTTAATATAACATCGGGGTGGGGATCAAACTTACAATCTCTTAATTTGAGATATATATCAATTACGACTGTCGTATACTTGATTTGACAATATTTTATAGTTTATTGACAAATGATGAATAGATTTTTTATTTATTGAAATTTATCTATTCTTCTTTTTTACCTCTACTCTCTACTTTTTCTTATTTTCAATAAAGTTTGAGACTACATTTTATAAATCAAGATATACAATTAAGATATCAACAATTTATTAAATACTTTTTAAAGTTGAAAATAACGTATTAGACATAAATACAACCTGTAAAACCTAAAAAAAAAACCTAATTTA